TGGATATAACTGAGTTGTTGTTTGTTTATCTTGGTGTTGTCTGCAAGATCTGGCTTCAGTGTTTGCATATATGACAACACATCAGCCATAATGCCTCTCCTGTGAAGCTGCCTGGGATTTAGCTCAAGCACTAGGTGCATGGTACACGTCCTTGATAGCCTTTTCGATTTCCTATTTCCTCACACGCTTGTTAGCTACGTTTTGGAGGGAGCTGACTCTTCCAGTGGTCACAGGCACCCTGTCATAATTTGCTCTGTTCACCTTCCTCTTTGTGAGTGTGCAATGTGACCACGATGGGAGCTGCACCATAGTCCTCCCTGACCTCCCCTGATCAATGCCATCTTGCTCCATATAGTTCAGCTGTCATTCTGCATGCTGTAGTTAGCCATTTGGTGAGCTCTGCAGTCAGTCCCTCAGTGCATGTGTTTGTAGCTGTTGCTGTGGGATGTAAGGTTCTGTTTAATGAGTGTCTATGAAGGTGATGCCTTGTATCATACTGCTCCCCTGCTGCTGTGAACAGTTAGTATTGTTGTTTAACTCATGTCTGGCTGCCTATACCCTTGCTCAGCGTGGTCATGTTTGTTTCATTTTCATCAGCCTTTAAAATGGAATCTGCGCTCAGTCTACTCTCCTGGTTGGCTTGGAGGTGTGGAGTTTAGTGCAGTAATTTAGTACACGGGAGTTATGAGAGCTGCATTTCTGGGTTAGGTTTCTGTTTTGTGATATACTGCCACAGCCCAGTCATAGCCTGGCCACAAATGTTTTGTACTCTGCTGCTGCGTTTGACGGTCCTTCAGCACTGAAGAAAGGAAGGTAGGAATTGGTATTTACTCCAAGAGGATTCACGTACAGGGAGTACGGGTATCTGACTGCAGTTCTAAAGGGATTGCAGCTGAAGTATGGTGTGTGGTTTTGGTCTCCTGACCAATGGAAAGGTGTATTTGCCGTATAGAGATTCCATGAAACTAATTCCTGGGATGGTTGAACTGTCCTTTTTGAGGAGAAATTGAACAGACTGGCTCACGACCTTGGAATAAGAGGCTGACCATTTCGGACTGAGCTGAGGCAGGATTTCTTCACTCAGAAGCTGATGAATCTTTGGAGTTCCCTATCCCTGTGGAAATTCATTCAATGACAAAATTCAAAATAGGGATCAATAGGTTTCTCGATGCTAGAGACATGAAGGGATAGAAGGAGAGTTGGGGTGGGTGTTGATGTAGATCAGCCATGATTTCTCTTATTTCTCCCAAAGGACAGAATAGCCACTACCTGCCCTGTATTTGCTGTAGCTTTCTGGCGTTTAAATGATGTTGCTTATGGTGGGCTCAAACAGTGTAGAACTCAGTAGCAAGAAGCAATGCTTCTTTAACTGGGACGAATGTTGTTTATTGGTCCAGAAGGCATTTGATAAGCTGTTACATCAAAGGCTATTGAAGAATCTAAAAGTTCACAGTGAAGGGGGGAGGGGGATAACATATTGGCCTGGATTGAAGCTGGGTAGCTCACAGGAATGGCAAACTGTGTGCTACAGATCTTTAACTATCTACGATTTATATCAATGACTGACATGAAGGGATAGAAACTGTAGTTGCTAAACTTGCGGATGACAAAGGAAGGGAAGTAAGTAAATTGGGAAGAGGTGATAGATTGGTTAACTGAGTGGGTAAAGATCTGTAAATGTGGCAAAGTGTGAAATTTTGGCAGGAAGAATAAGAGAAAAGTGAGAGGTTAGAGCTTTGCAGTGCAGAGAGATCTGTGTGTCCTTGTGCATGAATCTCAAAAGGTTGGTTCATAGGGACAGCAAGTAATCAGGAGAGCTAATAGGATGTTGTTATTTATTGTGAGGGGAATCGAATCATAAAGGAAGGTATGCTTCAGTTAGACAGGGGCCTGGAGAGAGCACATCTGGAATACTGTATACAACGTTGGTCTTCTTAGTTAAGAAAGGATTTAAATGCTTTGGAAATGGTGCAGAGAAGGTTCACCAGACTAATATTTGGAATGGACACATTGTCTTATCAAGAAAGGCTGGGCTTGTATCTTCAGGAGTTTAGAAAAGTCTGATGCAATTGATTGAAACGTGTAAGATGCTGAGGAAGGGTCACTCGACCCGAAACGTTAACTCTGATTTCTCTGCACAGACGTTGCCAGACCTGCTGAGCTTTTCCAGCAGTTTCTGTTTTTGTTTAAGATCCTGAGGGGATGTGAAGAGAATGTTTCCACTTTATTATAGAGTATGCAATGCATCGACTCACCAACAGAGCACCTGACAGTTTGATTTTGGACCTACTGTGCCCTGGTAGCGAATACAATTCAATCCATTTGTGGATGCCAGCAAGTTGGAAGCTGCTGGGTTTTGCCATACAGCTCTGACTTGCTCAGTCATGTCATGCAAGGAATCTTGGGGTCCAAGTCCATAGCTCCCAGAAAGTGGCCACACAAGTAGATAGGGTGGTAAAGAAGGTGTATAGCATGTTTCCCTTTACTGGTCGGGGAATTGAGCACAAGAGTCAGGATATCATGTTGCAGCTTTATAAGACTTTGGTTAGACCACTCTTACAGTATTGCATTCAATTCTGGTCCCCACATTACAGGAAGGATGTGGAGGATTTGGAGAGGGTGCAGAAGAAGTTTACCAGGATGCTGCCTGGATTAGAGGGTATGAGCTATAAGGAGAGGCTAGAAAACCTCAGGTTGTTTTCAACTGAATGGCACAGGCTGAGGGGAGACTTGATAGAAGTCTATAAAATTATGAGATGTATAGATAGGGTTGACGGTCAGAATCTTTTTCCAAGAGTTGAAATGTCTAATACTAGGGGGCATGTATTTAAAGTAAGGGGTGGAAAGTTCAAAGGCAGATGTGAGGGGTGAGTTTTTTACACAGGGAGTATTAGGAGTCTGAAATGTGCTGCCAGGTCATGATAGAGGCACATACAATAGGGCATTTAACGGGCTTTTAGATAAGGACATGATTATACAAGGAACGGAGGGATGTGGACCAAGGGCAGACAGAGGGGATTTAGTTTAATTTGGTGTCATGTTCAGCATAACACGCTGGGCCAAAGCACACGTTTCTGTGCTACACAGTTCTAAGTTCTTCAAGATAGCGAGGGGCCTGAATGACCCCACTTGACGTTCCCAGTATCAGCTCCAGAATATCACCCCTCCCCGTTCTCTCCATTGAGGGGCTGTAGTTTGAAAACAGCCGCCCTTTGTGCAAAACGTGTCATGGCTGCTGCACAAATATCAGCAGATATGGTTACCGCACATTGCAGAAAATGAGGCAGTGTTAGTGTCCTGTGATTCCCGGAGGTGTATGGGCAAAGGGATCCTCCACGCGATACATTTCACTGAAATCCCACAATAAACCTATCAGGCCATGATCGGAAACAGACAAACAGCACCATCAGCTCAACATTAAACCTCTCAAAATTGCATTATGCTGTGATATCATATTTCAGAGCTGTTTCGCACTAGGGTACAGTAACGCTGGGGTACAGTACCGGTGGGGACAGGTCTGTCGCTGTGTAACGCTGGGGTACAGTACCGGTGGGGACGGGTCTGTCGCTGTGTAACGCTGGGGTAGAGTGCCGGTGGGGACGGGTCTGTCGCTGTGTAACGCTGGGGTAGAGTGCCGGTGGGGAACGGGTCTGTCGCTGTGTAACGCTGGGGTACCGGAGCGGTGGGGACGGGTCCATCACTTGTCAGAGAATCCTGGAGTTTAGCTGCACTCTCAGGCTCTTCGGCCCATTGCGCCTGAGCTACACATTGAGCATCTGTGTGTTCTGATCCCATTTCCCACTCCTTGGCCCAGCAGCGTTGTCTGCTGTTTTGTCTCCAGTGCTCATCTGAATACTTCTTAAACGTGGTGAGGGTTGTTGCCTTTACATCTCCTTTCAGGCAGTGAGTTCCAGACCCTCACCACCCTCTGGGTGAAAGCATTCTTCCTCAAATCCTGTCGAAACCTCCCACTCCTGATCTTAAACTGTGCCACCCCCCAGTTACTGACCCCTCTACAAAGGGAAAGAGTTTCTCCCTATCCATGCTGTCTGTACCCCTTTGTACACCTCAGTCCGATCCCCCTCAGCTCTTCCCTGCTCGAGGGAAGACAATCCCAGCCTCTCTTCATCGCGGATTCGCTCCAGCCCAGGGAACATCCTGGTGAATCTCCTCTGTACCCCCCTCCAGTACAATCACATCCTTCCCATAGTGTGGGGACCAGAACTGCACACAGTACTCCAGCTGTGCTCTAACTAACGTTATACACAGCTCCATCATAACCTCCCTGTATTGATTCATAAAGAGAGTTTCCTCTATGCCTTTCTGAGCACCTTATCCCCCTGTGCTGCTCCCTTCGGGGATTTATGGACATGCACAGCAAGATCCCACTGATCCTGTGTACATCCGAGGGTCCTCACATTCAA